GTGACACACAAGACTGACACACAGCACAGCGCCACTACAGGCGGGTCCAATCCCAACCATTCTACCACATTACGACAAACTCTGACGCTCGAAAATCAACTTCTCTTTCTTTTACCAAGTTGGGTTGGTGTGACACTAGCATGACCTTATTTTATTTTTTTCCGAGGCACTACCACTACTACCCACCCAGTAGTCTCTTGTTGTTCTCCGTTTGCTTGCACTGGAAACCCGAAGTGTGTGAATGTCGATGAATGTCGCACACTTTCTATTTAAAATAGTGTTAATTCACTGGAAAAAATTGGCAAAAATAGCACCTTAAGGGGCCAGTCGCGCCTTTGTAAGGGCTCTATTTCACTAACGCCTGTAAAAAGGCATTAGATATAGCACTCTTGTTTTTCCAGTGTTTAAATTCGTGCACAATTATAAAGAGTTGGCATTCTCAGGAATCTTTCCGCCCCGCTGTGCCCTACCTACATTCGCACACTTGGGTTTGCTGCGTGTTTGCTGCGGCGGCGGTGGGGTGGTGGTGATGGAGAGTGCAATGGCGAGCCATGCAGTATTGAGGGGACGGAAGGAGAGAGGAGCGGGAAGGCCACGGCGGCGGCGGCGGCCGGGCCCGGCACGTCGGCACGTGCTCGTCGGTATTCCTTTGGGCGCAGCCGGGCGGGGCGGGGGCAGCTCCGTCATATAGCCCCGGCGGATGGCACAGCCAGCTGCTGACGGGAGGGGATAAGAAGCGCCCCGGGTGCGGAAGTATACGGCGAGGCAATAAGGCGAACAAAGAGTCAAACAGCAAAATACCCCCCTCCCCGCGCCCGCGGGGCCTCTCTCTCTCTCTCTCGCCCCCCAACCCCCTACAGCTGCCTCACGACGACGCGACACACAACACCCGTGTGGGTGGTGGAACCGGAGGGGGCGCGGGGGGGTAGAAAAGAAGACTGCGAACACAAACGTGCAGGTACTCCCTCCTCCCTCCGGGACCCCCCACACACAACTGCACAATCCTCGCTGTACACAACCCACTTAGCAGCGGGGGTACCGTAGTAGTAGTAGTAGTTACGCACAGGGCCTGATACAACGAGGAAAGGTTCGCCCCTCGAGGACCGTGTTAAAACAACAAAAACGAAAACCACACATCAAAGACACTCCTCCCCCCACCAGCGAGCCGCGCCCTACTCGCCCTGCGGTGGGCGTAGAGCGCGAGAAAAACAAAGCGAAACACGGTAAAAAAGGAAACTACGTTAAGTCGGCTGAAAAAAAGAGAGAGAAAAAAAAGAATCACGCAACGGGGTGACACTTATGGCAAACG